TGTGCTGCCAGCCCTGCCTTGGTCCCTCAGAACCCCCATGGGACAGGCTTGCCCAGTTCTGCCCTAGGAGTCTACTGGAGGCAGGCAGATGCACATAGCTCTACCTTTCTCTATGGGGCTTGTGAGGTGGAAAGGTGGGCAGCATGGCTCATCCTGCAGCAGGACCTCAGACCAAAGCTAAGGAGCATCTTTTGAGAAATATTTCATGACATGAAATGCAGACTGGGTAGGAAGGTGTACTTCAGGTACCTGCACGGGGAGATGGCTCCCTGCCCAGCAGTAATCGCAAGGCAGAGGTGCCAGTCATCCCAATGGTCATGCCATGACCAATCACAAGTGGTGCTTTTTTTTCCTTCTTTTTTCTATTTTCCAAATAGAAAAGGAGGAAGTTGTGGTGTAGGGGGTTACCTCCACTATAGTAGGCCGCAGCCAGGCCAATCGACAGGATTCCTACAAAGAGAAAAGAGGCGCTTTTTTACTGAGCCTAACAGAGTGTAGCACCCTCCCCATTTTTGTGCAGTGGTGTCCAAGAAGCTGCGCCCCTTCCCACAGCAGGGAAAGGTGCAGAGTCCCCCAGGTTCAAAGTAGGGGAAACAGGAAAGCAGCTGGTTCAAAAACACAGAATAGCCAGGTGCAAAAACAGAATAGCTACTCGGAGAAGCTGAGGTGGGAGAATCACTTGAGTCCAGGAGTTTGAGTCCAGCTTGGGCAACACAGCAAGACGCCATCTCTTAAATGCACACACACACATAGTACACACAATTTACAGTATTCACTGGACACATTACCATGTGAGGCTCTGGAGCTGCTGGGGAGTCAGAGTCCCTCATGGTGATGCCCAAGCAGCACATAGTGAGGAATGAAAACAAGACTGTGCACAGACTCAACATAGTACACAGCACACACAGGAGAAAACGTGTGTTGGGGAACAATGGGTCACAGAGATACAGCTGCTGGAGGCACAGCAACCAGCTCAGCCAATGCAAGCGCAACCGCCCTGAGGGCAAAGGACTCTCCAGATGGGCAGGGAAAGGGGATGGAGGAGACAGAAAAGGAAATGTCCCAATGGACCAACACATGGGTCAAACAGTGACTCAGAAAAGCACACGAAGTGTTAGTGAAAGGATGTTAGCAACAGAAAAGACAAAACAAATATGCCTTATGTATAAACCATGTACTTAGAAAATCTAAAAGAATACAAAAAAATACAATCATTGCTATATTTCAAGGTAACACAAGAGGAAATTCTTCCTTTCATTTTTATCTATTTTTATAGGTAGACTTTCCGGTGTTGTTTTTGTTTTTTTAGAGACAGGGTCTCGCCCTGTTGTCCAGGCTAGAGTGCTACAGTGTCATCCTAGCTCACTGCACCTCCAACTCCTGGGCTCAAAGCAGTCCTCCTGCCCCAGCCTCCAAGTAGCCAGGCCTACAGGCACCACCCTGCCCATCAGGCTTCTGTTTTAAGGAGAAGCATGGAAAGCCTTACCAACCAGCAGGGACCAGGACCGGATGCTGGGAGCCCTCTTCAGATGGAGGCAGGAGCTGGTGCGTGTCTCCACTTGCATGTACATCCCTGGGATGTGCAGACAACACTCTCTGCACGAGACCAGGTCTGGGGAGGAACAGACACAGGCAGGGGAACACCTGAGCCACCACCCACAGGCCCAGAGAGGGAGGCCCAGGAGCAGGTCCACTAGCAGGAGTGCCTGCAGGCTCAGACACTGTCAGCCTGGCTAACATGGTCTCTGTGGTCAGGCAATTCACTTAATCCCCCAGGGCCTCATTTCCTCTGACAGGAAGACCCTCTTCTGCCCAAATTACACTGCCTGCACTGGGGCTACAATTCCCACGAAGACTTGGAAAGTGTCAGCTTCATGGTCATGGGCCGTCATACCTAAAAACTAAGAATCAAGAAGCTGTTAGGGTCCTGTGGTTTTCAACCTGCAGGCACCCTTACCAGAATCTCTCTTTCCCCTGTGGCGGCCTCGGCCAAGAAAGAGAACTGAAAGTCTCGTCACAGCTCCGGCCTGTGCGGGCACAGATTGAGGAAGTTGGCTCTAACTCTGCTGTCCTCCACCAGGTGAAAACCCAGAAGAGGGTCCAAAAACAGAGTCCCCAAGAACTGCTCTTCCACGAAAGAATTTTGCCAGGGTCAACAGCCCTGCAGTGTCCATGCACTCAGAATATGGCTCCCCGGACCCAGTTCTGAGCAGTAGATCTCAGCTACTTCCCTATGGAGGAATGCAATGAAATTCCTCATGCCAAATAGTGGATTCACACGAATAATTCCTAGGAGTTGCTTGGTGACTCACCTCCTTCCTGGCCTCAGTTACTCCAGAAACATCACTGCCCCTCCATGCACACACGCATATACACAAAGGCACACGTGCACACAAAGGCCCCCAAGTACACACGCGCACACCGACCGTGCACCTCTGCGCCTCTGCGGCCACTGAGCCCCCGGCGGCCACGCGGCAGCTAGGCCCGCCCGACGCCTGGTTCCTGGCAGGTACCCCGCGCGTGGTCACCGCTGCCTGCGGGAGGGTCAAGGGGAACGGCACGGGAAGAGAGAAGAGCGGAATCCACTCCGCTGCCGCTGCCGCTGCCGCCTACCAAAGACTAGCCTGAGCCAAAGCGGAGGGACACCAAACCACAGACATCAGGCGGGGCAAACTTCCGGGACAGGGACGGGCGCAGGCGGACTTCCGGGACGGGGCGGGGCGGACTTCCGAGATCCGAATTTATGACCCTCAAGTAAAAATCAAAAGTAAGGCGGCGTCCGTTGAGCTGGTGGTTGTTGTGAGCTGTGACGCCACCACACCCTACCAAGGGCGACATAGTGAAACCCTGTCTCAAAAAATAATAAAATAAAAATCTGAAAAAATTATGAGACAACTGGGGAAATGTGGAACTGCATATTTGATGCAATTGATAGTAATTTTTTCAAGCATGATAATAATGTTGTAGTTCTGGCGCCTGTGGCTCAAGTGGCTAAGGCACCAGCCACATACACCTAAGGTGGCGGGTTCGAATCCAGCCTCTGTCCGCCAAACGATGGCTGCAAC